GCCCAATGTCACCCATTAAAGCTGTACATATATTGAAATACTGTATGACAATGCCATCATAGTACACATTATATGCAGAAAAGCCATTAAGGATAAGCCTTAGCATTTAGTCTTGGGAAAGCATATACTGTTGCAAAATTCAATGGAAGATGTTTTACTCGCATAACAATTGGACTAACAATGTATTGAATCAACATTCTGTGCTGTATCTGCATAAAAAGTTCTCATCATATCTTTTACTTCCATTGTGTACTCAGTCACATATAAGTTTAATATCTAATTAGAAACTGTTCTCTGATTAAAAATCATTTATATCAATCAAGGTACAAAGGAGATGAATAGACTGACCATACTAGTCTTCACTGTTTCAAATTACAGATTGTTCATTCTGTAAACTAAAACTTTATCAGAAAGAGTCAGAGGGACTAGCTATTTGTCATTTTCAAATGCACACCATGCACTAATGATAACTGTCATTCTTGTAATCTCTTGGATCTCTGCATTTGTGTGTGCAAACCAGCCTCTTGAAACAAAGATCAAAATTCAGTGTGCTTTATGGACTAGTGTGTAGTCATTGCTTAGCAAAGGGAGAAGTTCTCTGAAGTAAGAACAAGAAAGTTAAGTGGTGCTGTACCATAAAGTAAAAAAGGCCAACAATTTGCTAATGTCTCAGGAGCACACACTGGATTCACTGTGATTTGGAAATCCTGCAAATTAAGAATCCTATTTGACACTTTGTATTCTTTGTAAATTATGGTCTGGGAGTATTTACATTTTCTGAAAAGGTCAGATTTGAAAGTGCCCCATTTATCCCATTCAGATGCAAACAGAATCCTGGTCATTATGCTGTATTTGTCACTGCAAAGGTTAAAAACCTGTGTAAAGCCTTTAAACAACAGTGAGAAGAGACATTGAGCAGAGGCAAATTATTGAACAAGTGTTTCAGAGGAAATCTTTTTATACTTTGTAAGTAATTCTCTAGACAATATACTAATACAAAGTGAAAGGGAGAGCCTATTTTTATACAAAAATATAATTTTCCTGGTTTTCAAGGGTTTTTTTGATTTTTAAAACCAATATTAAAGGATTTATATAAAGCAGAAACTTTAGAAATGGCAAAAGGGCAAAACTATAAAACAATTATGGATTAAACTATTTAGTACAGAATATTTCCTCCCTGCTTGCTGGATATCTGAGTAACTGAACAACAATAATTCCCATCACCAAACAGGTAAACAAACAAAACCAAAAAATTATGTAGATGCCACCACCACTTCATACAATGCAACCCATGTATTCTCAGACAATTGAGATTAATTGCTATATTAGCAAATTAAAGCCCACCTACCTTCACAGGTCCATACTCATAATCGGATGCCTGCAGCAGATGCAGAACAGACACCATGAAAACATTCAAGGTTGCCCACGGTTTGTACATTCTGATGTTTAAGATCCACAGATTACAGTGCAGTCGATATCATGCAGCTGGAAGGTTCTGTTCCGAAATGCATTTCTTGCAACAATTTAAAAAAAGAAAAGTTTCCAGAATTTCAGTTGTAAATCCAAACAGAATATGCACGTGAGAAAGTAAATAACTGTTCTCTCGTCCAACACAATTATAATTCACCTAGACAATGTCATTTCCTAGACTGTTCTTTAGATACATTTGAAAGAAAATTTTAAGGATTTGCTTGGTTTTAGATGATACTCTTACAAGTAACCAGGTACAGATTCACATTAATAGTATTAAAAGATCTCCCATCTGGATTCACAAAGGGACTCAATTCATTTGTGGTCCAGAAAATTTAAAAATATGCTTTATTCTGTGCTCTGCGTTACAGCTGCCTTTTAAGATGGTAGTATAACGGCCAATGTTTTCAGCTACAGAGAGCTGTAATCCAACTCTGTATTAAAACTTTTTTCACAACCCTCGTGGAAGCTTGCAGAAGCATGTGTCTTAAATCTGATACAGACTTTGGCAGAAGCAGAGTCAAACTTTGGCTCTAATCCCATTCTGTCCCTACCAATAGCATAGCAGTTTTTAAACTAACTGATGCAATCTAGACTGCCATTATTTTAAAAAGATTACCTGAAACATGAAACTTCAGCACACGTTCTTACACAGCACACATATTACAATAGCTAGTTCTTTTATTTAAAGAACATACCCTTTTATATCTTCTGGGCTCTAAGATTTGCTTAAAGGGGTTTCACAAAGGAAAGTGAATAGTTTAAACAAATAGTTTTCTTTAAAGAGACCTTAGGAAGCAATAGATTTAAAATGAGTAAGTCTTTTTATTGCAGCAAAAGAGAAATATATTTTTGAACAACAAAACAAAAAGGATTTAATGCATTTTCTACACACATACACTGGCCTGATATAGTAATTTTTATGTAGATGAATAGTTCCACTGAAGGCAACAGGACAATTTATATGTGAAAAGACTGCATGATCAGACTACAAGATGTAAATATGAACTAGCCAGCTAAATTCTTAATATGCAGATCATTGGTTTCCGATCTTTGACTTCCAAGTGGCAGCTCTCTCAAATCCATTTTTTGCATTTCTGTAATCATCAATGGTTTGTATAATTTCTTCCTGAGTATTCATCACGAATGGCCCTAGGAAGGAAAATAACTTTAATCCAAAGCTTTCCGCTGTGATATGTTAAGGGGAATCAATAGGCTTTCTATAGATCCTTTGCCAAAGGGGCAATTTTACCCTATATAGTGGAGTTTCCCACTAAATTATAATAAATTAATTAACTAATAATTTTAATTCATATGCTATTTAATCTAAAATATTTTAAACTCAAATGACTCATTTAACACTTGGCTTCTCTTCTCTCCTTCCCATATTGCTATCCACCCCAAGTACGGCATGACCCGGTTTGATTTATTGTAAACTTCCATTTGGAGGCACTACTTCAGTGTGTTTTAATGTGGGGAGGCAATGCATCTTAGCGGATAGAGCATTAGACTGGTACTTGGGAAACCTGGGATTTCTTCCTAGTTTGGCAACCCGGGGTATGTCACTGCACTTCTCTATGCTTCAGTTTCTACTCTCCTCCCCATATTGCTATCCACCCCAAGTATGGCATGACCCGGTTTGATTTATTGTAAAATTTAACACTTGGCTTCTCTTCTCTCCTTCCCATATTGCTATCCACCCCAAGTACGGCATGACCCGGTTTGATTTATTGTAAACTTCCTTTTGGAGGCACTACTTCAGTGTGTTTTAATGTGGGGAGGCAATGCATCTTAGCGGATAGAGCATTAGACTGGTACTTGGGAAACCTGGGATTTCTTCCTAGTTTGGCAACCCGGGGTATGTCACTGCACTTCTCTATGCTTCAGTTTCTTCATCTGTAAAATGGGGAGAATGATAGTGAAGTCCTTGGGTATGAGAGCTATTGCTGAAAAGTGCAATACTAACAGCTAGGTACACTTGAACCTCTTTAATCCAGCAACCCTGGGATTAAAGATTTTGCTGGGCCAGGGAGGGTGCTGTGGATCTGAGCATGAGAAGGTGGAGGTGAGGTGCTAATCTGCCATCTCACTCCTGGGGACACAGTGGTTCCACGCTCCCCACCACTCCCAGGCACCGCCCCCTCTGCCGCTATGGGAGTGGTGGGGAAAAGCCTCTGTTTGCTGTCGTTCCCCCAGCTGGGAGAGAGGGGAAGAGGCAGCATGGAGAGCTGCCTTCTCCTCTATACAATGGGTGTTCCCGGAATAGGGACACCTGGAGTACACAGGTTTAAGTGTATTAGCAGCCGTGCAGGAAATCTCAACAGTATCTCTGTAAGATCTCTGGCCTGTATTACACAGGAGGTTGGAGTGAATGATCACCATGCTACCTTCTAGTGTTAAATTAATAGATTCCATCATATTTACAAAATGAAATCAACTGCTGCAGTTACAGACAATTATATTTAGACTCCCTTTACAGAACCTGACTCAAAGCCGATTTAAGTCAAAAGAAGGTCTCTTGTTGACTTTAACGGGATTTTAATCCAACTTTAAAGATCTTAATGAACGCAGGACACACAGAGTCAATGGAAGTATAGAAAAACTCGAACTTAACTGGCTTCCTAGGAAACAGCTTGCTCCTACTATCTGCTCCTATGGGTCCCAATTTTCCCCCTACCCACTGCACCATGTCCTGACTCACATCTCTCTCATTTTTCCAGGATACAAATGTCGGCCATTGCTGTCATATCTGAGCACTTCCCACGTCCTCTGCCCCCCACCAAAATCAATAGCAATAACAAAGATCCTAATGGATTTTATGGAGGTTTTTTTAGGGTTCATGTTGTTTTTTAAATGTTTCAAGCAAACATAGATGGGGAACATGTTAAAAGTGAAAAGTATAGTACTTTAAAAATATAGTACAGGCAGTCCCCGGGTTACATGGATCCGACTTACATCGGATCCCTACTTACAAACGGGGTGAGGCAACCCCGCACTAGCTGCTTCCCCCCAGCAGACCAGGGAGATGCGAAGCTAGCACCCCCCCCCCAGCAGACCAGGGAGACGCAGAGCGGCTTTTCTCAGCAGACACCTCAGCTTGAGAATAAAGGACTGAGGGAAGTGAGGTGTGGGAGAATAAAACTGAGCTCTGGAGAAATGTTTGGCTAGAGTTTCCCCTACAATATGTACCAGTTCCGACTTACATACAAATTCAACTTAAGAACAAACCTACAGTCCCTATCTTGTACGTAACCTGGGGACTGCCTGTATATGTTATTTTTAGAATACAAAGAATATACCGTTAGTACAACAGTACTATCTCATATTAAAACAAACTGGCCGGGGAATATGGGAAGCACTGATTTTCATTTTCAATCACTATATTTTTGATGAAAAAGAATATAACAGGCTCCAAAAACTGGTAGTTGTGGGAGATGGTCTTCATCCTTTTAATTCTTTCTGCTTGTTTACAAGGCAAAACCATCAACTGACCAGTGGCTTGTTGATTAGAAATACTTACCATGTTGTACCACGGATTCCTTAATCGGCTCACCAGCGACTAAGACAAAATGGCTTATTTCAGGACCCTAAATTGATAAATAGAATCTATTAAATAGCAACATATATTTAGATTATATTTAAAGAGACATTTTACAGACTGTCACCTGTACTGGCATTTTATGGGGAAAAATGCTAATCAGTATCAGGACAGGCTGAGAATAAGCAACTAATCCTGACTGGCTCTGGAGCAGAGCATGTGGCTCAATTAATTCATCAGACCCAGCTGGGGAAGAGCAGAGTGATGTGGGAACTTGGAGACTCAGCTGGAAGACAGCGATAGGAGGGAACTGGTCTCCTGTGACTGGCCCCAGAAAGAAAGGATGGCAGAGCAGGAAGAAGCTGGGAAAGGTCAATCCTCCTCCTTCCAACCACCTTCTGGCATTTGGCCTGGAGGTAGACTGGGAATAAGTATCCAGTCTGAGGAGAACCAGTCTAGGAAAGGACTCTAGGGAAGAAACCTTGAGTGAGGGAGAAGGCCAATAATGTCGCAGTGAACATGGTGGAAAGGTAGCTCCGGAGCAGCAAAGGTGGTTCTTTGGACTAGAGACTGCTTCTGTTCCCCCTTAGTCCCAAGAACCATCCAGCAGCAGACCTACCTCCCCTCACAGAGGCCATGTCCAGTAGCAGAGCCACTGCTGCATTGTGCCATGGCAGGCCTCATGGGAGCACATGAAAGGGATGGGGTCACACAGACAAAACAAGGAACAAAAAGTTTTCCTCTGGTATTAAATTCTTTCTGTATAATATCTGCCCACATGTATACTTTAGGGTTAAAATTCAGGTGCCAAAATAAATTCCTTTCAGTTATTTAACAACATCTTATGCACAAGGACAGGTCCAGACGAACATTTCCACATGCCAGACAAAACAAAAAAGGAGAAACACTGGAAACAAAAATCATCTTAAGCCAAAGAAATGTAGCAAAACATTCAAGCCATGATTCTGTGAAGCCTGCTCACAGTAGTCCATCGAAGCCAATGGGACTACTCACATGAAAAAGGATTTGTGGAATCAGGCCCTAGATTATCACCAATTAAACTGGTAGTTTCAGGCTGCAACAATAAAATATGAGCTCAATAAAAGCAGTTAATTAACCTTGACCTCAAAATAACATATGACTTCATCACATTTTTTGCATTTGAAACCATTAGTTACAGGATTCTGCACCAATTCAAGTTTTTGTGGTTAGTAAACTTCAAGAAGCTAACATAATTCCCAGCTAAAATCATTAAGCAAGTATTTGTAAGTTGATCCTATGAGGGGATCTGCACATTCCTTATAACTAATCCACACACAGAAGATCTTTTGTTCTACTTACAATTACAAGGAAAAAAGAAAAGTTGGGTTGATTATCTCAAGTGTCTCAAATAAGGACCTAATTTAGATTTAATAAGATAATTATGACAACAATTAAATGCTGATTTTAGGTTTATCAGTGAACAGACAGACACACATTATTAAACTTTTGAAAGATGGTTTTAGTAAAAAAAAATTGCTGTTAATATCATGGCGATTGCAACCAGAAATTATATATATAATTAATATAATCAAACAACTAATTTAGGCCCTGATCCTGAATGCAGGGAGAGAAATGAGGTGATGTGGCAGCACACAAGGATCTATCAGCACCAAGAGTGTTTCCGAATCAGGGCCTTTGATATCTGTTCATCGATAGCACATCAGAATGATGATAACCATGAATTCAGTGTTCAGTGTCCACATAAGTCCAGTTTATGCACTAAAGCCTAGCCCAGAACAGGAGGCAGTGCAGGTCCCACACATCCCAACAGGAAGATTCAGGGAGGAGAACTGGCAGAAAAAAAAATAATGAAACTGTAGAATACTTAGACATTTTTCCAACAGCTCTCTTTATAGGAGACATTGTGCACAAATCTCCTGGAGACAAAAACGGCTGTGCCGACCCTCATTTCACATTTATATTACAGGCGCACCAAAATGCTATGTCTACACATCAGCTTTAAATAATGTAGTGCGTGTCTACACAGCAAGCTTGTTACTTTGAAATAATCAGCTTCTTACTCCGACTCCTGTAACTCCTGTATGAGGAGTAAGGGAAATCAGGGGAAGAGTGCTGTGTAGACAGCGACAAAAGTTGAAATAAGCTTTTTTGACTTAAACTATGTAATTATCGTAGCTCAGGTTCTGTACCTTATTTTGAGTTTAGTTCTGTTGTGTAGAAGTGCCCAGAGAGATTTTCCTGAGGCTCAAGCCCCCATTATGCTAGGTGCTATACGTACATATTCAAGGAGATGGTCTCTACACTTAAGAGGGTGCAACATCCCATCTATGGCGAGTCAGATCTGCTTCCTCTTGTGGTGGAATGGTGTTCAAAAATGTTGCCTCCTCTCTACCCTTTTGATGCAAGTCATACCCTTAAGAGCACCAGCCAGGACAGCAACAGCTATAAAGAACTGTGATTTCTTGCTACGCAAGAGATAAAAGAAAATGGAAGCAAATTGTGTTCTTCCCCCTTTGCACGTTTGTACATGCACTAACTTGTGATCCTCAATACGTGTTTATGTTACATGTAGTTAGAACACAGCTGAGATGTTTACCAAATATTAACTACAATGTGGTGCAATCAATCCACAACTTCTCTTTTGCTTAATTCAGGGATGGGGAACCTTTTTCGGGTCAGGGGCCACTGACCCACAGAAAAATCAGGGGCTGACACAAGTGAGATGCCAAAACAAACAAACAAACAAACAAACAAACAAACAAACAAACAAACAAACAAACAAACAAACAAACAAACAAACAAACAAACAAACAAACAAACAAACAAACAAACAAACAAACAAACAAACAAACAAACAAACAAACAAACAAACAAACAAACAAACAAACAAACAAACAAACAAACAAACAAACAAACAAACAAACAAACAAACAAACAAACAAACAAACAAACAAACAAACAAACAAACAAACAAACAAACAAACAAACAAACAAACAAACAAACAAACAAACAAACAAACAAACAAACAAACAAACAAACAAACAAACAAACAAACAAACAAACAAACAAACAAACAAACAAACAAACAAACAAACAAACAAACAAACAAACAAACAAACAAACAAACAAACAAACAAACAAACAAACAAACAAACAAACAAACAAACAAACAAACAAACAAACAAACAAACAAACAAACAAACAAACAAACAAACAAACAAACAAACAAACAAACAAACAAACAAACAAACAAACAAACAAACAAACAAACAAACAAACAAACAAACAAACAAACAAACAAACAAACAAACAAACAAACAAACAAACAAACAAACAAACAAACAAACAAACAAACAAACAAACAAACAAACAAACAAACAAACAAACAAACAAACAAACAAACAAACAAACAAACAAACAAACAAACAAACAAACAAACAAACAAACAAACAAACAAACAAACAAACAAACAAACAAACAAACAAACAAACAAACAAACAAACAAACAAACAAACAAACAAACAAACAAACAAACAAACAAACAAACAAACAAACAAACAAACAGTCTCTGATGTGGCCCCTGACTGAGGAGAAAGACACTCCCCACATTCAGAGATTAGGGGGGGCCTAAGCTAGTAGATTTTGTGTGCTCCAGCCCCATGGGTGGAACAATGGAGGGACTGCAGCATTAGTGCAGGCTCCCCTATTCTGGAGAGAGCCCCAAGCATCTGGGGCCAGATCTAGGCAAGCCAGGGGCCACATCCGACCCCTGGGCCTTTGGCTCCCCCACCTCTGGTTTAACCTGTCATTTTTAATGCCCTCAAATGTTATAAAACAGAATGAACCCCCTCACTTTTGACTGTCTAAGAGGATATCTAAGAGGAAATCTAACATAAAAAAGGACGGAAAAGAAAAAATATAGAATATGGGGTTAAAAAAGTTAAGGTCTGAACAAGAGGAAAAAAAGGAGAAGACACAGGTTTTGGTGGAGGGAATTCCACATCCAATGGCCACTATAGCAAAGGCGCTTCAGAGGGGATCTAGTCACATGCTGGAATATGACACACAGCTGTGAGGCATATGCTGTCAGAATGTAATTACCTGTCCAAATGAGAGTGATGGAGGAGGTAACAAATATAGCCACTAACAGTGTACAAACCAAGAACAATTGTAAGTCAATTTGACACTTCATAAGCAGTCAATGTGCAATAAGCAAGGAAAGCGTAACATGATCCCAGTGCCCTGAAGCAGTGAGCAAATGTAATGCTGTGTTCTGAAGCGACTGCAATCAAAAGAGATGAACAGCTGGATGCTTCACAAGGAGGAAATTACAATAATAGAACCTCATTGTCTTAAAGACACGTACTGCTGTTGCAAAATTATCATGGGACATAAGGGCATAGACTGAAGCAATTGCACAATTGAATAAACACTTTTGGACCATGCCAAATACAGGATTTGTCAAGGAAAGGCAGCACCGCAAGTCGCATCAACATCCTTAACCTTGCTCTGTATTTATAAGTGATTCTTCTTACTCAGCAAGCAAGAGAATCCACATGGCTGCTTCTCGTCATGACTTCTGTATTGCTAATATTTCAGACTAAGTGGATATATTTGGCATTTATCTTATCCCTCAGTCAGAATGCCAAATACAGGATTTGTCAAGGAAAGGCAGCACCGCAAGTCGCATCAACATCCTTAACCTTGCTCTGTATTTATAAGTGATTCTTCTTACTCAGCAAGCAAGAGAATCCACATGGCTGCTTCTCGTCATGACTTCTGTATTGCTAATATTTCAGACTAAGTGGATATATTTGGCATTTATCTTATCCCTCAGTCAGAACACT